GAGCATATGTCTATAGGACTTTTTTTCTTAGTTTTTTACTCCTCTACACGCTCCCGAAGTTTTGCCATTTAATTTGGAAACACCCTGTATAAAGAAAATTAGAAAATGATAAAAAAAAGTATTTTATAGTATAAAGGAAATAATATGAAAAGAGAATTAAAAAATGTCGACTTCTATTTTTTATACAAAAAGTGCAATATTAGGTAATCTAACAAATGGAAATAATCAATGATTGCATTTAATAGAGAAAGCAGTTTTGTAACACACGGTCAATAATAACCGATCATTTTAATATTAAATGTTGATGACAATACTGCGAAAAATTGTAAAACAACCTGACAACCAGTTTGAACATTTACAAAATTATTTTGATAATTAAAACAAAATTATATTTAGATGTGTATCTTAATTTTTTTAATATTTCAGAAAAAATCGTTCTTTCCGTATACAATGTCGACGCAATAATTAAGAACTTTGCTTGTCACTTAGAAATGTATTCGTGATAAATGAGGACTGCATCCCCGAAAGGATGGCATCCAGGACGATACTTGATAATCAGAATATTCAAGGAGTATAAAAACGTTCCTGTTCTTAAGCTATCAAGAATTGGAAAGTAAACTCCAATTATGCGTTCAATCTTTATTCCTATTCTAGAGTGAGCATTCAGCAAGGATTGGAACGCCGAATTCTATAATTGAACGTCAGCTGAACGCTGCTTGTTCGCTCTACGGGCGACAGAAGGTAATTTCAAAGTGACTATTCTCATTATTTTGAAAATTTGAAGATCTGGAAATTTCTCAGGTCCTTGTCAATGACTGTCTCAATCGCGTACTTTTCAGAGTTTAACGCCAACTTCGGACAATTCAAGATGCTATATCGTCTTTAAGGACAGAAAGGGGAGATACTTTTGTGAATTTTGTGCCCCGCTAGAAAGTAGAAAGGTAAACAGTCCATTCTTATTACGAATCAACTAAAAACGCATCACTCATTTGCTGCAACACAACTAAAAAAAATTAAGTTTTCCAGAAAATAAGTTCGAACATTTTGAACCATTAAAATTTTGTAATTTAATTAATTTTGAGATGCAATTTTGATGTAATAACTGATTATATAATACAAGAATAAAGTGTAATTTTTAAGTACGTATGTTTTTTTTATGTTTTCATTCTTTTTTTCACAATTAAAAAATGATAATTGAGTTATGTTGTAGTAGCAAATGAGCAATGTACACGTGCGTATGTTAATTGCATGTTATAAATTTATCGTTTCAATTTTGAACTGAAAATAATTATTTTGTGATTTGTTTTCGGTTGAAAAAGACTTTGTATCCACTTTGATAAATGAGACTATATTTTGGAAGAATGAATTTTATTCAATTAAATTGATTCATGAACGAAAAATATTTAATGTCTCAGATAACAAGCAGATTCGAAGGTACGGACTCAAGAAAGCTACGATGTGCCAGTTGTCGATTGCATTTTCGTGATCGAGGCATCAGAACTGTAAGTGTTCAAATGATACATAAAATATTGTTGAAGTTAGGGTTTGTGCACGATGAAAGAAATATTAGGAACACGAATAAAGAGAATTAGAGAAATAAAAAAAAAATTAGAAATAGAAATTAAACAACGCACAAAAGAGATACAAATAAAAAATATAAAATATATCGTTCTTATTTGTATCCATTGTGCGTTATGTTTAAAATTTCTATTTCTAATTTTTTTTATTTAATATTTATTCCTATTTCTAATATTTCTTCCATTGTGCAGAGGGCCTTAGCTGACGAAAAGTAATTTCTATTCACAGAACGTTAAACCGAAATCAGATACTTGTCCGAAATACAGCCGATTGCAAAAGCACATGGCTTCTCCCTCCACCACGTAAACAACAATCACAACTACATATCTCGTGTCGATAGAACGCACATTGTGACCGAAAACGTCGATCGTGATTATTTGGTTAAAAATATTTATTTCTTACAATAATAGTCATTAGGAATAGCGATTAAGGAACTTAAAGTATATACTCGTCTTCGCGCGGACATGCTGAAAAGAAATAAGCAACGCTGATCACGTTGTTGATTATTAGCTGTAACTTAGTGTAAGATAACACTATCGAAAGAACATGATTTGTACTTCTTTGCGACATTCCTCGAAACATGATATCAAGTGCGGGATGCACTGCCAGCGGCGGGATGCGCGTCACTTGTAATCTGCTGTAACATCATTAATGTAGCGCTGGCTTATTGTCGACTTTATCTTTCTTTCATTTTCAGTCTTGTATTCTTAAAATATAGCATGATTTCTCGGAAATGAGGTTTGGCTTAAGGCTCCTGACTAGCCGCCGCAGCCATATCGTGACGCGACGATATTGGATCGTGACGTGACAAAAGAAATGACACATTGAAGTTTCTTGCACGCCACTTATAAATAAAGAGAATTTGAGTAAAATAATAATGAGACACGAGGATAGCCTATTTTTCTAAGTGTTTCAAAACGTCTTATTTCTTTTTCCGAAGCCATCCTTATCTTCCCCATAGTCAATAAATAGTTGTAAATAAAAGACAAGCGAAGTAAAAATACGCATAATAGATTTATATGCCTATTTTCACTTTCATGCCCCCTGTATGACTATTTACTAACTGGCAGGAGAGTAAAAATGGCTCTCGCGTTTTGAAGCGATTTCATTATTTTGTTTTATCAAAATTCTCTTTACTTACAAATGGCATGCAAGAAGTTTCAACGTATTATTTCTCGCTTGTAACGTGATCCAACAATATCGCGGCGACTTAGTCAGAAGCCTTAATTTCTAGCGAATCTCGGAGTTCTCCTCTTACTCCAAGTACTGACAATAACAAAAAATATAACGATAAAAAATCTGAGACCCGTTGAAAACTGTGCGTTCAGAAAATATACGGGCAGTTCATTATGCGTTTATATAAAATAAATATAGTAAATATGTCAGCGCGAGACTTAATCTAATGTAAATCTGCAATCTATGCAAATGAACCGCTACGACATAGATCGTTAAAAAATAGTTAAGACGCCAACGATTATGCGCGATTTAAAAAAAATGGTAACATGGCATTTACCAATAAAATATTATAAAATAAAAATAATCGCGAGTTACATTTAAGCTATAAATTGAAAAAAACTGCGATGAACTTAGCAACGCTTACATGCTACTAAAAAAAAAAAAGATTTTTGTACTATTCGTGCGAATCTTTCTCTTTGGCAGCAACGTCAATAATTAAAAACAAAAATTATGCCTTAATAATTATCCCATTAGAATACACGAGATAAACGTAAAAACGCCGCCGTTCTCTAAAATCTACATAAAATGTCAAAAGAAAAAACAAAGAGGAAAGGAAAGGGAGAATCATAGCTGAGCGCAAGCAGCTTCTTGCTTCAAGATCGGCCTGGGACGTTTCTCGCTGCCGTTTGCCACGAGCGGATCGAAACAGGACGTCAGATTTTCCGCGGCCGGACAAATCGGTGTAAAATTCACAACAAGATTCGGCGCGTAATTCTTAACGTAACATGACGCAGCGATGTTGGTTGTACGCGATATAGCGTTGCTATTTCCTGATTTCATCAGGATTCCACCGTGCCAGAATTCATAGTCGAGTTTCTTGCTGATAGGACCTGGGTCCGTAATCGATCTCCGCATCTGCTCATTGGTACCGTTACATTGGTACGATCGACAATCACAGCTATGAGCATGACGAGTGACGGCCGAGGATTGCGGATAAGCTGCAACGTCCTTCGAGTAGAGATAAGCTGGCTGCTGCAGTAGCACATAACATGCCGGATAATTCTGACAATGGGCAGTGGCGATTTGCCGAGTCTGATCAACCGTCTTGCTAGTAGAGATAGTAGAGAAACTGGGTTGGCAATTCGAAACACCGGAATCGTTTGAGTATTGGTATCCGTTAAACGAGGAAGGCGATAGATATTTCGCGCCGTTCTCCCAATCGTGCGACGATTTGCTCGGAAATTTGTCCAGCGAATCGTAAGTCAACGGACTGTCGGGACTTGTGGACGAGTTGGGTAACGCGGACATCAGATTGGAACGCCACATATCAAAGTTGGGGAAACTGTTCGCCTCATTCTTCCGTTGCATCTTGTCCTGGAAGTGGTAATGCTTGTTCGGTGGCTGCACGTTATCATTGATATCCGTGAACACTATCTGCTGCTTCTCGTCCTTGTCCTGCAAAGAATCGTTCATGCCCGATATGGCCAGCATAGTAGAATAACGAGTGGCGTTACAGTTGTGATTGGTGGGTTTAGTAACCGATGAATTAGCCTGGCCATTCGGTGGGCAGATTGGCAAAATCTTTTTCCGGCCGCGGTTAGAAGATTCGTTTTGTATCGGTGAAACTGACATGGATGTGGTCTTCTTGGACTGCAGATATTTCCGGGTAATCTGTACGTCGCCTTTATCGTCAACACTGCCACGGTCTTCATACTGGCAATACGGAAATGCGATTTATATGAAGGAAGAAGAATAAATATTGCTAAGGCGAAAGGGGCGAAAGCAAAGATTTGGTTGCACCGATTCATTGATCGACTGACATTAAGATTCCTGTTAGCTTATCATTACACTCTCAGATTATGACGTACGTTATAGAAGCAAGAAAACACAATAAAAAATTCTAGCAAAAAGATTATATTTGAATAGAAATATTTTTCAATAAAACATTTGCAATAGAATGGACATATAAAATATATCGAAAACTGTCTTCTTATTTCGAGGAGAAATTAAATTGTTTTTGATTATGCATAATTCGTTTCCAGATATAATTATTTATTAATTAACGAAATAAAAGGAAAATTTTCGGTATATTTTACAAGTCAATTCTATTAACTATAAATGTTGTTCTATAGAAACAATTTCTATATTAATGTATTTGTAAAAATTTTTATTATGTAATTTCTTGCTTCTGAAATCATAATTTGAGATAGTATAGTGACGAATGAATAGGAATTATAATCCTAATAATATAAAAATATTATGTAATAATAATTAAGTAACATTATATTGGAACGTGCACTTTATTGTTTCATAATCAACGGAGATTCGTATATTGTCCGACGACTTGATTTCATTGAATTTTCTGGAATTCTCCTAGTTCAAATCGGAATGTGTATTTTAACACATCATTGAAGCATATAATTGTAATTCTTTTTATAATAAAGATGGTGTTTTAAATCATATTTACAAACCCTAAAATAATTATGTTTTCGAAACATACGGAGTCAATAGATAAGATGTATGGTAACGTAAGACGTTAAAAATAATTTCGTAATCTTTTTCGAGCTTATTCCTATACTTGTTTGTCATAAACAAAACTTTTTCATTCAAAAATATTCTCGCGCAAATCCCTTATCCATAAATTCTATATACGAGTTTTTGAAAGAAAGTAAATTATATTTGTCTTTCATAAAACGCAGCGTGACATATCAAGGCACGGTAAATATCCAGTTTATCGAAGCCACCTCTTGGCCTTGACATGTACATTCAAGGTCATGATCCTGAGTGAATTGAAGTCTGTAGGCATCTATCATAAAACATGTCGGGATGAATTCCTGTCATAAAACAAGTCGGGATGAATTCCTGTCATAAAACAAGTCGGGATGAATTCCTGTCATGAAACAAGTCGGGATGGATTCCGATCAGAATTATTCCGTTTTCCTTAGAAAACACAATCAAAATCTAAAAAATAATTGAATAATTCCGATCAAAAACTATTTCAAATAGTTCCATAATACGTATCCAGATTCTATTATAGATTTCAATTAGCTGCGTAAACATCGTTATTTAATCTTCGGTAACGCACGGGTTATCATTATGTCATTTTTTTTTAGTTAGAAAATACTCTACAAGACTATAATAATCTTGTTGCGAGATTCTGATAGTCTAGTAAAACTGTAATGGATATCCTGGTAAAAAGAAAAATGTTAGACTAAATAGAAAATTTTTAAACCAAAAGCAGAACATAAGTTAATAATTGGAGAGACTGTAGGATCCTCTAGAGACAGAAAATAAAAATTATGATAATTATGTATACGGTATAGGGGATGCAGCCCTAATGACTTTGGGCGGTATTCATAGTTGATTCTTATATTCATGACCGTCTTAAGTACAGTTTTAAGATGTCACGAACCAATCAGAGAGCCGTATTAACATTTTAAGACATTACTTAAGACGATTTTGAAATAAAAACGGACTACGAATACCGGCCTTTGATCTTGATATGTGTTGTCAAAGTCATGACCCTGAGTGACTTCCAACAGGTTTTAGCAGTCACTAATGTTATTTACGAAAAAGTTATTAGCAAAAAAGTTTAAAAAATAACGTCTTATGTTTTCCGCATACAATATTAACAACTACCTTAACATCCTCCCCTGCTTATGTAATAACTTTCCATGCGAAGCAAGGTTCGACCCTACCTCTCCGCCTGCCTAGAAGCGCAGACTTTGGTGGAGTTAACCTCGCTTTGCATGGAAAAACATTATGCCCCATAAGTAAGGGGTGTAAAATAGTATTTAATATTGTAGGTATATACTAGAAATAAGACTAGAAAATATTTCTTAAACTTCTTTTATTAATAACTCTTTAATGAATAACGAGCCAGCTAAAACCTGTCGGAAGTCCCTCAGTGTCGTGACCTTGACAATATTTATTATTGATTGAAAAATAATTATATGAATGTTCTTTTTAAGCCTTTAAAATAAAATCAAATGTATATTTATATTTGAAAGACAGTAGTAAATGTAGAGAATATTTTCTCTTTTTCGGTTCATATGATTTTTAGATTCATATATAATGTAAACAATTCTTCTACATGTTGAGCGTCCTATTTAGGTGTATTAAGCAAATTTGAAAAGTATGGTATGAAAGGTATGAAAAAACGTTTCAGACAAGAGGACATACATTCGCACACATCTCATAAAGAAAAATCGACTAATAAAAAATTCGGTTTACAAAATAAAAATTAAAAGAAAATCTTTTTTTTTAATTTTTTTCATATGAATTTCATATGAATTTTTTTTCACGTGAATTATGAAATATTTAAATATTTTTAACATTTCACCTTCTATAATTATTTCTGAAAAAATATTTTAAACTCTTTCAGATTTTATAAAATGGGAAATTAAAGAATGAGAAATCTTAAAATATTTTCAGAATTTAAATACATAAGAAATTCTATGATAGAAAAAATGCAGGCTTTTTCGACATTTAATTCTAAAGTGTTACAATTTGTATTTAAAAAATCTGAGAACTTTTTTAAAAAAAAATTGTAAAGCACTATTCAAAATTTCTGAAAAATTTAAAAATGAACATTCTGAAAAATTATATGAAAAATTTTGAGGAAAATGTTCATCAGGACAATGACTCGTATCGTCATAACGCGAAATGTAATTATTAATAAGAAAATTTTTCTGATGTCACATTCTGTTCTGTTTCACAACAACGCGTGTTATCAAAGGAAAAAGAGGAAAAAGAGTTTACTTGCAAATGTACGTTACGTACAAATCTAGTTATTCCGTTCGAGCAATGTTAACAATACAGACAAGTAGCAGTCTACTCTTATCGTTCGGAGCACATACCATTTCAGCTTTGGCCAGATAAATCCAAAGCTTGCGCCATGTGCTGAACTTGTTCTGATCGCTGAAATTGTATCGCATTTCCTTCGAAGCATATCGAGTCGACAATGGGCTGCGATAGTCGCAATAATCGTTACTCGGCACTTTTGAGACACTCATGATTAATCGAGAAAGAGAAAAAGATTCAGAGCGAAAAGAACTGTCTAACGCGACCGTGTGAATGGAACTCGTGGAACTAGACGCGATCAGCTGATACCGCCGGTGCTGTGCTGTGCTGTCTGCGAGCATCTATAGCATCTAGCTCTCTAGATTGATTAAAATTAAAAATTGCGTACTAGCGCCACGTCTTGGACAATAGATGACTTTACTTCACAAGCGAGCCGCTTAGCGCTCTGCCGATAATTCAGAATGAATGCTAATTCAGAAGTGACGAATCGGAGAAACATGGGTGAGAGTGCATGGTCATCCCGGCTTTTATCGCGTGCGTGCGTGCGTGCGTGCGTGTACACCAAACCTCGGTAAGGTAATGGACGTCCAAAGACGAATAATCAACCCTGATTGTTCATCTTTGGCCTAATCCGATCACGTAATAGCATGAAAGAGAAAAAATGATTTTAACTTGGAGAATCCTTACTGTTGGTACTTCTTATTGGTTTATAAAGAAATAACAATAATATGCGCACATTCCAATATGACAATGTTCAATAAAAAATGTGATACGATAAATCTTATCATTTGTTATTATCCTTTTTCGATTATTTTTTTATCTTAAATTGAAGCAATGATTGAAATTGACGCAAAATAATTTATACTACAAACCATAATTTTAAAAAAATTAAAAGAAGCCACCAATATTTTGAACGTAAATTTAACCATAGCTATACACATTGGGATCCCAGAAACCTCAGTGCAATTTGCTAAATCGAGATTTCTTTCGTGTTTATAAACTTTTCTTTCTCTTAAACTTACCTATATACATATATCTCGAAGCGCCTTAATTCTATCGACTTTTACACATTATAGATTTGTTCCTTAATCAATTTTCCATCAATTGAAAAAAAATTAATAGAAATATGTCTATTTTTACAGAGTTACGGTAACAAATATGGATCGGACCCAAAGACCCGAGTGTGTATATGAAGGATAGAAAAAAAATGTGTATAACTAGGATTAACAAAAATAATAATTTATTTTTAAAAAAGAATCAATCAAAAAAGTGGATTTGCGCAATCGATAGACTTCAGTGCTTCAATTTTAATTATTGAAATGTATCATTTTTGGAAAAATAAAAGTTACAATTTCTTGCTCACCACATTGGAGGGATTCCAGTCAACGCGCGCCCATTCGACGTGGACTTCGTTGCATTTGAAAAGTCTTTCAGGTCTCAATTTTCGTCTCGCTAAAGCTGCGTTGCGATGAGATTTGAAGGAAACTATAGCATAAGCCGCGTCATGATTCGGAAATCGATAAATAGATACGTACTCGATGTCCCATGCTGATGCATAAATCACCTAAGTACATAACGAAAAAACAAATTGACATTTTCAGAATTTTTACATCTTTGGATAAATTAAATTATATAATTTTTGTTACACAATATAATTCCTCTAATTATTTTTCATATAAAAGTGTTGAGATAGAGATGCCAAGAAAACAATAGTTTTACGAGATATTTTATACTTTATTCTAGTACATATTGACATGAAATATTAAATATCTCATATAAACTCTATTAAGTTTTTGATAATCGTACTTTAATACTTTTATAACAGAATGATGAGATAAATCAATTGATGTAAAGAAACTACATAGTTGCTTTAAAAAATATATGTAGAGGCAAAAAAGATAATTTTTTAAATAAGCAGTTATGTGTTTTCTTTACATCAATTAATTCGTCTTATTATTCTATTCATAAAAAAATATTAATTATCAAAAAGTTAATATTTCACGAAATATTTAATATTTCATGACAATATGTGCTAGAATAAAAGTATAAAATCTTTCATAAACTATATTAGTTTTTTAGTATCTCTACCTTAATACTTTTATATGTAGAATAATTAGAGGGGAATTAGATTATGTAAAAAAATATACAATTCCACTTAAAAAATTTAAAGTGTTCCTTGACGTAAGAACATTTTAAGAACATCTTCTCAAAATTAACCAAGATTACCATTTTTCCCCCTTCCCCCTAAAGTAATTAAACAACTTTGATCTAAAACATTTTTATCTTAAACTTAAAGATTTTGAAAAAATCGACTGGATAAGTTAAAATGACCCACCCCGTATATGTACGCACATTAAAATATGTATAATATCAAAATAAACAAGGTATGCAATTATAAATAGAATCTCATTGTGAAATTGAGTACGATGCAAATTTAAAAGATAAATAGAGATCTACCCTAACGACTTCTTCTGATTCGATATGCCACGGTAGGGGACCGATGTAAAGCTTGCACTTGTTTACGCTCGCCAGAACACGTATCTTCCTGCCCGGCGAAATCTCGTACTGGTCCAGCTGGATAATGGCGCGCGCCGCATCCTCCGGATTTGTGTACATGATGAAGCAATAACCCCTCGTCAGTTCGGCCATGTCGACCATTAGCCGAATCTGAAAGACCTCGCCGACCATTTTGAACAGCGGATACAAGGTGTCCTCGTAGATCGTCTTCGGAATTCGGCCTACGAAGATCTCACACTCTATACCAGGAGTTGGTCCGTTCCAACGGATCGGTTGGATGCTGAGGATCCTTTGTCCGTTGATCTGCGTGGAAACCAGCTTGTACTCGTGCAAAAGTCGTAGGACGTTCCTATGCGTTTGTAATTGTCGACGTAAGGAGGGACACATGAGCGACGGCTTACTCTTCTCACTTCCTATACACACAATATTATCGAAGATGTAAGTGTCATTGGTACATAATAGTTACATGTACTAACTAAATGTTAATAGATAAACTTAAAAATTAATAATACTGTATCGTTTTGGATAAAAATAATGGAAAGTAGATTTTTTTCGATAATAATGCAATTTATTTTTATATCAAAATTTATAGTAAATTAAATAAAGGAGAAATTTCATACAGTGAAAAAATGTTTGTTGTTAATATACGTGAAAAATCATATCAATTTAGACATACATATGTGCAACAAATTGATATACCATTTTAATTGGGGGAAAAAAAAATAAATGAAAAATAAAGTTTTAGATAATAATGTAATTACTTGGGATGTTAGAATTTATATAGTAAATATCTTGGAAATTTATAATAAAAAGAATAACAATGTTATAAAAAAGATGAGCATAGATTAACGACAAATTTTTTCTTCATAACTGTAAATTTAATTAAAGATAAAACTTATACAACGATTTATAGAATAGGCGATTCTCTTATGTATATGTTGTATTACATGGTTTGACGTACTAATAAATAATAAATACGTCACTGTATTCATGGAGAACCGTTGTACGAACTAAGACGCAGACTACCTATTGTATATTTCTATTACACAAGAGATGCCTCTCAATATGTCTATTTTCATTCGACCGAGCTTATAATGAAAAACACCTCAAAGGAGAAGAGACGTAAGTCGAAAATACGAAAACAGTATAAATATATGTAAAAAATATATTCGATATTTTTAGAAAGAAACGAATCAAATTTTCTTTTTTTCTGCTGATTTGTCATCGTCTGTCTATTCTGTAACTCTTAACAACTATAACTATAGCGTTACTGTCGTTAAGAGTTACAAAATAGGCCTCTTAATCTTGTATGTATACAGGATGTTCCATAACTCTTAATATTTCTAGGAGAAAAGGATGGAATTTGGAACTAAAAGTTCCTTTCCCAATTTTTGTTCAGAACGTTATCGGGAGAATGTATAGTAAGCGCTTCTCTCGCTTACTATACATTCTTCCGATTAAAATTTTATTCTAATTCTTCATATTAATTAATTAATAAATCATGAATAAATCAATAAATGGGAAAAATAATGCGAAAAAAAATAAAATAATATAGAAAGACTAATAATATAAAAGATGAAAAATTAGAATAAAAATTTATTTCGGAAGAGAGAGAATGTAGCGGGAGGAGAATGTACAGGAAGCGCGAGAAGCCCCAAGGCTACGCTTCTGCATACTTCCAGCTGGGCGCAATCTAATTTTAATCGTTAATAATTCAATAAATAATGGTCTGAGCCAAAAGAAATTGGGAAAGAAACTTTTCAAGTTCAAAATTCCATTCTACTTCACTCCTAAAAACATCAAGACTCACGAGACACCCTATATATATGTATATATATAGCCATCGTAATAATTTCAGGACATTAAACTTTTTTAATTTATGTAAAACACATTTGATTTGTCTTAAAAGTGATCCTTTTCATTAACGAACGCTGTTCTAAAGTATTATCGCGCCTTTACAAATAATATTTCGTAAAAGGTGAATAAAAAGCACGCACGCACTCTCTCTAAATAGTAACTCTAAATAATAACGCAAATAGAAAGGATCAGCACAGCATCTTCGACTCACCGTTGTCCAAATTTTCCGAATCCAGGGAAATTTCTTGTTCCACAACGCCGACGATACTTTCCATACCGGTTAGAGGAAATTGCGGCCAGGCTGAGATCTCTTCGTTCTTCAAATTCTTCATCCTCCGAAACTCGCGCTTTTCCTCCTTTCTGTTGCCTCTCCTCCGGTTACCTTTGCGGCTCTCTCTCGATTTGTTCTCCATCTTCACACACTTCCGATATCAGCTGAACATTAACAACAATCTCGAACGGTCAGAGATACAAAAGAACGATGTACATACATGCATAGATACATATACGTGTATACACACGCACTGCGCAATAAGTTACGTATAAATGTATATATGCATAATATATTGTTCATGCGGGAATTCGTAACAATCCTGAATTGATCTATTGCCGCGACGAAAGGAACTGATTCTTCCGATGAGAAAACGAGCTGGATCGTGCCGGTTGTGCGCAGCGTGTGCGCTCTGGCCGGGGTAGAGCCGGTAGAGGACATAGGACAAGAGATAAATTCGGATATATCAGGATTGGCGGACGATTTAGCATGGAAGGTTGTCAATCGTGTCGCCTTGTCGGCGGAATGCGGCGGACGGCGAAACATCAAACAATCGATGTATTGTGT